AGGCTGGCCCCCGCGGGCCCCAGCCGCTCCGCCTCGTGGCAGTTTGGGCAGTCGCATGTGGCGCGTCCGGAGTATCTCCTGGAGGACCTGGATGAGGTCCCTATGCCTGAGCTGGCGCCGGAGATCATAACGTTTGTGGCCGACGCGTCAGTGTAAGTGGGGATCACAGTTTTGAATCCCTCCTGCGTCAACAGGTGCTGGCTGGTGGACAGGAGGTGGGACGCAGTGGGGCTGATGCCGGTGGAGCTGAACGCGGAGTGCGTAAGGCTGGAGAAGTCTGGGTTGTAGCTGCTGAGCTGCGAGTGGATGGCTTGGGGGGTTCCGGAGTGCAGTGAACTTTGCAAACTGCCGGCTGGGTTTTGCACCTCGAGCCACGAGCCTGGGTTCGTGTGCACATCCCACCACGTAGACGCGCCGTTGGCCACCTCGCCAGAGATGGTGGAGTGAAAGCCGGACTTGTACCACGATTCGTACGGGTGCGCCATGCCGACCCGCGGATATAGGGTCTCCGCGGACGAGTGCACTTTGGAAATGAAGGCGGACTGTCCTGACTCCTGCGAGGAAACGCTCGCCGTGTTGGAGAACAAGCTGCTGTACTCGGCGGAGAACGCGGAGGAGGTCGGCGAGGTCGAGGCCAGGCAGAACGCGCTGTTTGCCGAGCCGGTGCTGGGCGTTAGTCCCGAGGAGCTGCGGCTTGTGGCGACGGTGAATCCGGGCAGGCTGGAGCCCAGGTTGCAGCTCGACGACGATCTCTTCCAGGGATGAAATCCGCCTTTGGAAAACGCGCTGGAGTCGGGCAGAGTCGTGAGGGGACTGGTGTTGCCAATCTTGTTGCAGGTTGCAGCCAGCATGGCTAAAGGGGTAGTTCCAAACCGCGGCTCTTCCTGTTTGGATGAGAAGTTGATGCGCTTTACTAGACTGTAAAACATAGTTGGGCAAACAATCCAGCAAGTCTAAACCGAACGCCCGAATAAAACCAAAACAAGCGCGAAAATGAGTTGCTTCACTTGCGATTTTTTCCTGCTGGATTTCAAAATAGTTGTAAGAGTTGTCACGTCTTTAAAAAAAAAAAGACTTTAAAGAATTTCACGTTTACATTACGGTAGTATTATTTTGAATAGGCTAACTTAAGGAATATCAATACACTAATACATTAAGTGCGTGCTTTATTATTATTATTATTATTTTCCAGATGAACGTGGTTTTCAAGTTCTCAGTGTTTCATTATAGCTTCTTCAGATCAGCGCGTTGGTTTCAGCCTTCATTTAAAGCACAAAAGTGGATCTAAAAAACTAGAGAATTAAAATCTCTGTGAAAGCTGAAAAGGTTCTCTTGTGGCATCATTACTTTTAAGAACGAAAATAAAAGCCATTGAAAAGTTTGAATGCAAGCAAGCAAGCAAGCAAGCAACACTGGCATGTCAGTGCCATCCATGCAACTAAAAGAACGAAAATGCGTCGAATTCAAATAAAGAAGCGCTTACTTACCCCAAGTATAGACGTGGCCATATCCAGGGCCCTTCCTAGACAGCTAGTTGAAGAGAACAATGACTCAGTGTTCCAGTGTGTCTGAGGGACAGTGCGCTGAAGCTTTACTCTCTCTACTCGAGTTGTATAGTGAGCGCGTGCTTTGAAGTACAGCTGGCTGCACTACTCAGCCAATCTGAGCGCGCGGCGAGCCGCGTCCGACCAATAAGCGACGCTGCAGGCTCGAAAATCGCTTGATTTGCGCAATCACTGCAAATTGACGGAGGAACAATTAACACTATTAAACGTCTGTTCAGCATAAACACATTGGCCCGAGGCTCGGAGAGGTTTAGGTTACATATTTAGATATGTATATATATACTGTCTATTCTGCTGCAAATGAAATGAAACTGGGGCATCCGGTGCGCATTCTTTACGAAATGTGTACAGTATGAGACGCTGAAGAAAACGGGGGATTAATAAAGAGACTGCTCGCAATTAATGTCTGAATTAATATATTCACTTCGAGTGGTTTCTTTTCATTTGTGGATTGATTGCCCCTGCCAGCATTTATGTGTCAAATAAAGCTACATTTGATATTAAAGACAGAAAGAAAATAAACATTAAAAGGCACATTTAAATGATGCGTAAAAACGGTTTGTAATTTGTTAAACCCACATTAATTTTTTTAGACAAAACAAAACAGGTTTTTCGTTTAAAAGTAAGCACGTTAGATGTCAATGCATAGGCTGCTATCATAATTTTAATTCAGTGCAGGCTAATTCTGATCACCAAAGCGAACCCTTACGCGCTGCATATTTAAATTAAAACTCGGTTTGTATTAAAAAGCGCAGTCCGGCTTGAAAGCACCTTTTCTGTGGTAATTAGGAGCCTATTACAAGTCATTAGATTGATCAATGTGCCTTAAACAATGTGAGTGATTTATTTGGTAAGAACAAAACGCTGTGCATCTATTGTCGTGAGCCTGAGTGACGATATGCATCCATCACAGCGTTAAACAGCACAAGATGAATGATTAATCCGGACCTATTCATTAAAAGGGTCTGGGCCCGCTCCAGAAGCCCTGTATTCGTCCAGAAGCAGGGAGAAAGGGGTTTTCAGGGGAGAATTCTTCTCGGGTGCCGCTGGGATTAATTTGTCCCCACCCTTAAGAGGAAAAGCGCATTTGTGGATAATTAACTAATCTGGCTCATTTTAAATCCCTCTCTACTACAGGTCCTTCACTTGATCACCCCAAACAGCCTGGTTTCCTCCCTCTAACAATTCAGGGAGAGTCAAAACAAATATCAACTCACATCTCAGTTGCTTTCTTTTCTTTTTTTTGCAAATAGGCTAGTGTCACTTCTCGAGGCACCTCGCAGGTTGGTTTTGTGATTAAATGTCTCTATTTGGACAAAACTGTTTTGGGGCCAACAGAGAAAAAAAAATCCTGTGTTTGTGCACTTCATGATTTTGACAATAAAGCAGACGCTTGTTACCTCCGTTGACAGGTTCAAGCATGTGCAATGAGCTCTGACCGAACACTGAGGACTAAAAGTCGTCTTCTGTGCAACTGTGCTATTTTGTAATACACCCGTATGAAAGGACGCGGGGTTTGGGAACGTCTTTACGCGGGTGGCGCAAAACAAAGCGCAGTGAACAGAAACGCCTTTGTGCTTCCAAGCAGAACCTTTTCCCTCAATTATCTCAGTTGCTAGATTTAGTAAAACGAAGGCACAGATGTAATCATGGGTGGGGTTTTCGATTTGCAGATTCATTCATATAATAAATTCGCTAATTTATTACATCTCAGTTGGATATGTGGCTGTTGTTTTTTGGCAGATGTGAAAGCGCAAAGGTCACCGGTGCTCGCCGTGACATTCGCTTCCAAGTAACCCTGCAATTCCTCTGTACGTCGGGTTTTACTGCATGACAGTTAATATAGCTGTTGACTCTATACGCAATTAAACCAATCAAAAAACAGTCGCGTATTAAACTAACACTTGTCAAATTTGTCATTGTTTATAAACTGTAGTTTCAGATGAAGATGCATTTTAGGGGCCCACTGGGGTTTTATTCACATCTCTCTCTCTCATCATCCAGCATTATTTCATCTTAAAAACAGGAGGTTACAGCCTTCTTTGGCCATTTCAGTATCCAAACATGGTGATCTTATCCGTGCACATTATGATTTCATAATTTGCTCCCAGACAAAGAGCCTGTGGAGGATCGCTCTGACAAGCAGCGCGCAGGTCATGGGATGTCGTGTTTGTTCTTAAGTGGCCAGTGAATGTTATCTACTATTCTCTGCCTGTCACAATAGAGCAACAGTGACACTGCGCACATAATGCACGACTACTCTTGGAAATTTGCATATGTATGCCATATGATTTTTTTTCTCTCTCTAGGTGTTTGTTAATGTTAATGCCGTCTTGGGATATAGCCTACTATCTTGCTATTTTTTCCCACGTTATTTTATTTATGTATGCAATTCGATTTTATGTTTTATATTATAATTATATTTAATGTTATTTTTATGTTAGTTATAATTAAATATTGTTTTAAATGCAATTTTTTTTTATTAGTAGCTATACCAAAACAAGGAAGAAGAAAAAAATGCATTTAGCACGTTGCGGTCTCGCGGTCTCAATCAAGAGAGGCTTCTGGTTCTGTCAGGATCCAGCTCAGATAAACGCACGCGCCAACAGGTAAAGCCCTCGAGCCCTCGGTTCACGGCGCTGCCGCGGCTCTAACTCTACACGACGAGGCTGTCGCCTGTAATTTGTGGCGCAGAGGGATGGGTTGTGTGGAGAGGAAGTGCTGCGGTCCAGCACTGCTCTTCTCTGTAGTGACCGTGTGACTGACGGCTCTGTCCAGTTGGGTTTGGACTCGTCTGAGATCTCGTGAGACGCGAGCGGTTTGCTATGAACTTGTTACAAATAGAAAGATGTAATTAAACTGCTTTACAAAAAGAGCGCACTGTCGTGATTCTGTGCAGGCATTACGATTTAAGATGCTGTTGCTACATCACAGCGCCATGTATTGCCATAAATATGTACCTTGGCAAAGGCAATTCTGTCTTTTATTTTTCTTTAAGGACCTTTTAAGTACTGTTTCAGTAGTATATGAAAATCCATTCAGTACTATTGCATTTCCATCTGATACCATCAATGAAGCATGGTACAAACACAGTACTTTATTTGCTAGGGTATCATGTTTTTTTTATTTTTCATAAGTCTCTTATGGTCACCAAGGCTGCATTTATTTGATTAAAAATACAGTAAAAAAATGGTAATATTTTAAAACATTAGTACAGTAGTTTTCTATTTGAATATATTTGAAAATATAATTTTTTCTTATGATGCAAAGCTGGATTTTCAGCGTTCAGCATCATTACTCCAGTCTTCAGTGGCATGATCCTATAGTATATATATATATATATATATATATATATATATATTTATAGTCAAAATTTATTTCTCACATTATCACAGTTTATTCGCTATAGTTTGGAAAATGGTAATAAAATATGACAAGAACTCAGAGTTAAACACATTATCAATTTTACTGCTAGTCCACTGTATGAAGAATTTTTGGGTTTTAATATGTCACAGTTTACTTTATTTTGCAATCCTCACTTACATAAATTAACTATAGTGTCCTGCACTCACTAGTATAAAATATCTAAATATTTAAATATATAAAATATAAAAAATTGTCTGGTATCTGAATAATTTTTGGTTTGACTGTATATATATATATATATATATATGCGTATATATTTAGTCAGTCTATATAGACTGACTGTATGTCATGATATCATGGCTCTCTCATATAATTTCTTGGCCTTCATCTTTAGCAAGTCCAAGCAGATTTGACGGCCCTTGCAGTGTTTTATTTAGCTGTTTACAGAGAGGCTCCTTCACTACTTTAGAGGTCACTCTTAAAGTGCCCTTGAATTATATTCTGCTGTCAGATTGGATGCGTTATTCTGGGCAGTGAAAGACCTCGAGCCCTATGTCATCAATCTAAAGCAATTTCAGCCCTATTGGTTTTTGCGTTTCGATCAAGCAGTCATTCACATTCCCAGCAGCAGGTGAGGTGGAGACAGCTGGTCTCGCGCTCACCCTTCCCCGAGTGAAGGACTCTTCAGCTGCCGCAGAAATCGCTCATCCCGCTCAACATGAGGCCATGGTCTCACACCACCACTCCACCCGCGCAAACAATTTAGCCCTGAATCCCAAATCCAACAGATCTATTATAGGATTAAAGGCCTTGTTATCAGGCTTTGTGCTGGAATAATAGCAGAGCGTCAGTTCGGATTCGTATGTTATTTTCCTATGTCTTTTGGAAATGAGACAATGTTCTTTAGTGTCTATACAGTTCTGATCCAGTCATGTCAGTGTGTGCGCTGTGTCTCTATTTTCAGGAAGTCAGCTCGACACAACAGCGCGCCACATCTCAAGGCTTCCTCTTCCGCATCACTGAGCCAGATAAAAACACTGAATCCAGGCACCACCAACGCTGCCATTTGCCCTGCTCCTCATTTGTCACAAAAACTCATACACACACACACACACACACACACACACACACGCAGGCAGGCACGCACACACACACACTGTGCATCTGTCTGTCTGTATTTGTTGAAAGCTTTCTTTCTGCACCAGACACAGTCAATTAAGGTGCAAGAATAAAAGGAAAAGATTAAGAAATAAATATATCAGGCCGTATACTTTTTGGAGTCCTGTCAATGCTATAAAATGATTAATCAAACAATTAAATTCTGCCATTGCTATAACTTCTTTATTTTTTGGACCAGCACCCACTGGGCCTATAGATGTTTATTTTATTATATTTACAGTGGCTCCAAAATGCATTTAGACAATCCATATCATTAACTACAAACATGTCTCACTAACATGTGACAAACAGAAAATGTCTAAATACACTTTAACAGAAAACCTTTTTTTATAATTCAAAACTTTGTTTTTAATGACGTAATTAATGTATGTATTCATTTATTCATGTGCTTGATATGTGTGCTTTTAAGTGAGGAATTTATTTAAAATGAATGCTGCTTGGTTTTATATTTTGCATTTAATTCGGTGGCACTCAAACATTTGAACTTTTATTTAATTTAATTTATTTTTGATTTTATTTCATTGAATTTAGGGTGGTGAGATTGCTTAATCGTAATTAATTGCATCTACAAAAGAAGTTTGTATTTACATAATATATGCATGTGTACTGTGTATATTTATATGTATTTATAAACACACACATGTATATATTTGTAAAAAATATGATTTATATCATATATAAATCTATTGCATATTTTTTCCTAAATATATTCACACATATATGATCTAAACACAAACTTTTGTTGTAGATATTGCGATATCGACAGCCCTAAAATTGAATTGAATATTCAGTAGGCTCCACACTGAACTTCTGTATATATTTTCTGGGCTCAGAAGTGGGTGATATTGAATTTTCTCTGATGGTTTCTGGTCAGGGTGTGTAGGATGTATGTATGTTTTTCTGTCAAGGAGGTGTGTGCGCTATGTAAAGGCTTTCTGTCACGCAATAGTTTTATGTTTGCTGTTGAGTCATGACTGAGAGCGTCTGTCTGGCCGAGTCGGGATGGGACTGCACCTGTTCCTTCTCACACATGTTTACCTCAGCAGCCGTGAGCAATGCAGTGACTCCCTATAGTTTTATGACTACCTCGTCATGGAGGTTACTCATCGCAGCAGTGTGCAGGAGTCTTCAGAAATATATCCACTAAAGTGCACCCACATGTTGGCATGTTGCTTAAGATGAAATCACAAGGGCCGACATGATTCAGAGTGTGTAGTTTTGGTCAGAAAGAAGTTTGCACGATAACAGAGTCGTATTAAACTGTCTGCAGCTACTCATTTTGCTCAAGCTGCTACTCTTTTGTACTTTAGTTGCCTTCACAAGCTGCTAACTAAAAGTGATTGAAGGTAAAAGTAAAGGAGCTCTCAAATATAACATAGGCCTATTTGATTATTTTTACATTCAGATCAGATCAGAAAACAGCTTTGCTACCCTCACTACTGTTCAAAAGTGTAGGGCTGGTAAGATTTTTTAATGCAAGATGTTTATGCAAAAATACAGTAAAACAGCAAGCAATATAGTGAAATATTATTACAATTTAAAATAAATATTTTCTGTTTGAATACATTTTAAAATGTAATTTATTCCTGTGCTGCAAAGCTGAATTTTCAGCATCATTACTGCAGTCTTCAGTGTCACATGATCTTCAGAAATCATTGTGATATGATCATTTGCTGTTATATTATTATTATCAATACTGAAAACGCTTGTGTTGCTTAAGCTTTTTATTGAAACCTTAATAGAAAACAAAAGCATTCATTTGAAATAGATTTTTTTTTAACAATATAGAAGCCTTTACTGTCAGTTTTGATCAATTCAGTGTGTCCTTGATTAATAAAAGTATTAATTTATTTCAATCAATCAAATAAAATCTTACTGACGCCATACGTTTGAAAGGTAGTGGTATGTTTAGTGGTCTTTTGACTGTACAAATCTTCTAAAAGTTCATTTTGTCAGATTTTAAGAGTGCACTAACATGCAAATGGTCTCTAAGTAAACAGACATGGGCCAAAAAACACTAAACTCCAATTTGAGTTTAATAGGCTTTTGAATGCAAGTCAGAGTCGGCCACTAACAAAAGCATAATAAATACAGCAATTCCCAGAAGAAACAGTGGATTAAAACCATCTCTCTGAGAAAATCCCCATCCACTTGATTGGCTCTATGACTCTCTCTCCTCTCCACCTGTAGCTGGTGTGTGGTGAGCGCACACAGGCGCTGCTGTCCTGGGGCTGCCGTTGTATCATCCAAGCGGATGCTGCACACTGGTGGTGGTTGAGGAGAGACCCCCCCCCCCCCCACACACATGATTGTAAAGCGCTTTGGGTGTACAACAATACACAATAAAGCGCTATATAAATGCATCATTCATTCATTCATTCAAAAAAGAAAAAGAAAAAAAAAAAAGATCAATATCCTTGAAAGGCAACCCTCAATGTTTAAATGCTGCAAATATAAAACCGCTTTGTTTAACTGCCAATAATGAAATCCAAGACGAGAACTGAGCACGGCCTGACTTTGATATGCTCCTAACTGCATTTCTTTATCTTCATTAAGAGGCTGACATTCACAACAGCTTAAAGACAAACTGTTTGTCTCTGCCTTATTATGGCGACTAACTACAAACTGTCATTGGGCTTCGGCGGAGCGGTCCACACTCAATGCTTATCACATGTCATCTCTGCGTGGCAGCACAGAAATTACGCTCCTCTCATGTTTCTTTTGTGCTCTTGACATCGTCTTTGTCTTACACAATTAAGGTGTTACACGGTAGAATAATTTAAATTGCCCGCACTAAAATGGAGACGGAGGCTCTTTTTAAAAATAGCAGAATTTGTTTACTGATTGTATGCAGCTATTGACTTTCCCATTACTGGAGAAGAGCTCTGATTAGTGGATGTGCTGTTTGAGGCGGAGGGGACAGAGTTACAATACCGAGCGCTTATACTCATCGTTTAGTGGATCTCTTTGCTTGGCATTACCACTGGACACGGGAATAAAGGTGTCACGGCAGCTCCGAGGCCATTTTCTGACATGCTCAACAGCCCTTGTGAGGCGAGACAGGCTGCGTCAGTCGTACCCTTGGAAACTCTCTAAAAGGCTCTTGGAGATTTTCATATTTTACACGGTGTTATGCGTCTCATGTTCGCCTCAGACTGCAGAACTATTATTCTGGAGCTGTGTGCAATGCGGATGTCTGTCAGGAAGTGATTGTTTTCTTTGGGTATATCCACGTGCAGATGTGTGGTCCTGAGGATGAAAGCCAGTCTATATGTAGTAATGAGTTCATATGTGAAGCATTTCTTGAGGTTAACCTACTTTTCTTTTGACACTGTGCTCCCTGACAAGAAACCACCCAAATAACAACACATTTCCATTGTCTGAATGGAAAACGGTCTTCATTTGAATAGTGTAATAGCAGTATAATCATGTACAAGTGCACTTGGAGGTTTGCAGTATGGAAGAAAACGTATTTCTCCATGAGTTGCGTGTGTGAGCCACTGCACTCTAAAAAATGCTGGGTTGTTTCAACCCAACTTTGGGTCAAATATGGACTAACCCAGCTGTTGGGTTACATTTTTAACCAAAAAGTTGGGTTAAAACAACCCAGCATTTTTTAGAGTGTATCATGAAGTTGTCTTTACACGGCTGAGTTAAGCCAGGTCTGTGCCGACTCTAAATGCTCTGTAAAATTCCCCAATTTATTGTTGGGCAGGCTTCTTTACAACTGTAGCTTGTCAAACAGTTCTTAGCTACACAAGCTGTTTATTCAAAATTCAGGCTGTTTGTGTAAGGTACATTCTAAAAAATGCTGGGTTAAATACAACCCAGTGCTGGGTAAAATAGGGACAAGCCCAGCGATTGGGTTATTTTGACCCAGCGGTTGGGTTACTACCCAGAAGGTTGGGTTAAACATTTAACCAAACCGCTGGGTCAAAACAGCCCAATTGCTGGGTTTGTCCCTAATTTACCCAGCACTGGGTTGAATTTAACCCAGCATTTTTTAGCGTGTAGGCAGTATTTGGTAACACTTTAGTTTAGAGACCAATTTTCACTATTAACAAGTTGAATGCATTACTTGCATATTGGCTGTATATTAATACTTATAAAGCACATATTAATGCCTTATTCTGTATGACCATATTTTAGATCTCTTAAACAACAACCTTAACTACTTTACTAACCTTTAATAAGCAGCAAATTCAGCCACATGAATCTAGCATAAGTGATTCCTCTGGTGATATATTTATGTCCTGTTAAACAGACTGCATTCGCTTTTTATGAAATTCAAGCAGCTTTCAGATGCAGCAGCCTCAGGTCATATTACCAAACCATGTTTTTCACCACTGTACTTTACCACATTTCCAGCACTGCAGATCAGTCTTACGTTGAATGCTCATATTATATATAGATTGCAATTGGAATACAATTTGGTTGATCAGTTCTTTTAATATGGTTCTCCACAAATCCCTTTTGGAGCTTCCATTAAGGCAATATGCTGAATCAAATATCTGTGTAGCTGTTGGATGGTGGATGAAGACTTTAATTTAGGTGAACAGAATGCAGTAGAATGTGTGCATATGTATGGCGTCCAGTATTTTTGTGTAATACAGGACACATGTGGCTGATGTACTGTGACCAGCGGGAGGGGAACTGTACATTAATATTGGTTTTGTTTGCTGGCCACCATGTGTAATTCAGTGAAGCAGGTTTTTATGTGATTTATAACTCATTTTACACAGTGCCGTGTGCTAAGGCATGCGTTTTAGGATTCGCAGTATTAGGAGTTTATTCAAATTGTGCGACTTGGTGTGAAGTGAGCAACTTCTTTTCTAAGCAGTAGGAGTTACAGTTTTTTCCTGGAGGTTGATAAAACAGACTTATACTGAAGAAGGGACTTATATCTATACACTAGAGACTTGCACCACTCACACATGGCCTTTAAAATATGTAAAGCATCCTGTTTGTATGGTTTGTCTTTACTTGTGTTGCATATTAAAAAGATTAAATGCTCCCAGAGTTCATTGCGATTTTGCTGTATTTCATGGCTCCTTGTATGTTTAACTATATCCAGCTCCTTTTTTAAAATCTTTGTCATAAACAAAGCCTGTGAATAGATCTTGAAAACCAGCCTATAAAACAGACACTTTTCTTTTATGAATTTACGGCTCACTGTTTTCACTCGCCATTGTTTTCCTTGAACAGATTCCACTGAGTATAAATGGTTCCTCCACCACTTAACCATTAACAATTTCTGTCTTTGTTTTGTAATTATAGAAATGTTTTATCCAGTGTCAGCAGGGACATGTTTCAACATCCAGGGCTCTTCTTTTTATCTCCTGATTATATGGTAGTGGGAACACGTTTTTTCTTGCATCGAAATGAACGTTTGCCAAATGCATTGAGTGTTCAACATAAAACTGTGCTGTGGCACAAATATCTGCCAGAATATGTGTGAACGTGCTGCTTTTCATGGTTTTATATAAAAGGTTATGCAGACATTCCCACCTTACGGCAAACCGGAAAAGTCATTTCGATTGATTATAGGATTAGTGTAGAAAACGTCTGGTTAGGAGCATGATTGTAAGCGGTCATGATTGGGTTTAGTTCTGTGTTACTAGGTCATGTATTGATGGTTACCCTCGTTCTGTGAAAAGTCTCACAAGATTCACATGCAACATTGAACAGGGGTTGGAAAGATTATAGTCGACATTATCAACAACACTGACAATAAAAAAAAAATTGTTGAAAAATATTTTTGTGGTTGGATAGTCGTTTGATCTTATACGACCTAATGTAATGTCCTGCAATAAAGCGGTTTGAGCAGTGTGTAAGTCAAGTCAAGTCATGTCACCATTATTTATATAGCGTATTTTACAATGCAGATCGTGTCAAAGCAGCTTTACAGTATTAAACAGGGAAATAGTGCGTCAAAATAGTGGCCAGACGAAACCAGCAGTTTAATTCTAGGTTGCAACAAAGTCAGATTGTGCAGAGGAATCATTAAGACTGTACTTCAGACCTCCCAGATGCAATTCAATAGAACAAGACACTCATGAGATGCAAATGAAGCCGAACCAGTGCAGTCTGAGAAAGTGTTACAAAATTTAAAAAAATGCTGTCATGCAAAGGCCCCGGTATGCTAATGTAAAATGTATTTTGCATTCTTCGGTTAGGGGTAAAAAGAAGTTCGATAAACGCTTTACTGTTAGCAAACATCTCAGCATTTTTTTTTACATGAGCTCAGTAACACTCAAAAACACAATACACAAGCAACAAACATGATGACAGTGAGAAAACAGCAGTTAAGAAAGCATCTGATCATAGTGATGTGGTTATGTTTTCACAAGATCTGCCATCACTCCAGGAAAGTCCAGTCACGTCTATTTACAGTATATAGCGATTTATACAATAGACTGCTTTAAATCAAGCAGCTTTTTAGTTTTAAACAGTGTCAGTGTTGCTCTCAGTTAGAATTACAACTTGATTTCCTGCTATGAAGCAGCTTTTATATATATGATTATGCATGGAATATGTACAACTCAATATTTTAATGAATCGCAAAAGCTGAACAATGAAAGTGAAGTGTGTCCAAGTATGGTGTCCTATACTCGGAACTTGTGCTCTGCATTTAACCCATACAAGTGCACACACACAGCAGTGAACACACACACACCCCCAGAGCAGTGGGCAGCCAATGCTGCGGTGCCCAGGGAGCGGTTGGGGGGTCGGTGCCTTGCTCAAGGGTCTCACCTCAGTCATGGTATTGAAGGTGGAGAGAGCACTGGTTATTCATGCCCTTCGGGTTACAAGTCCAACTCTCTATCCATTAGGCCACGACTGCCCCGAAGCCTCTGGTTAATTGATAAAATAATCAACAATTAGTCGATTAACCATTTTAATAATTCTTAGTATTTAGTATCAAAATACAATTGTAAGTTGCAGCCTTACAATTAACACTAGGTCCAAACTGTTGACCCAACAAATCTTGCTCACTAACCACCCAATCCAGTTTAACCAGACACTACGTTAACCCTGAACTCGTCTACCACTTGCATCATGCATATTAAATAAATTAATTGTCATCCATCCATCCATGCAAATGGCATGTTCAAACAAAAAAAATCCTTCATTAGTGCATTCCCCCATTGTGATTATTTGGGGTCGCACAGCAACTCTACCCCTAACCTTGGTAGTAGTAAATGTGTATCTGATGAAAGATTTAGCAGAGTGGAGTTTATTAGACCATTGAAAACCAACCATGTCACTGTGTATCATGTAAGATCTAAGCATCTGAACCCTTTTTAGATCATTTTTCGGACATAAGAGGGTGTCAGTCATTCGTTGTGTCTCACTATGATAGTCATGGTTGTTTCATGGGTTTAACCGCTGCTGGCTTTATGGCTGTAACCAAACAGAGAGAGTGTTTTATCAGCGAATGATTGGAGCCAGGCAGCGGTTGGACTGGAATTGCAGGCTCTTGCAGAGACTTTTGAAGTACGAGGAAATGTTGCTCAACCTTATACCCTGCAGTACATGCCGAGATATTTTCTGGTACTCTAATGATTTCAAAAAGGCTGTGTAAACAGTGGATTTATTTTCACTCTGAGCCTCCAAAAACTATTAGAGAGGGGTTTGGGGATCTGAGTGCTGAAAACTGAAGCCTCGGCATGCCTCATGTTCAGAAAGAGCTTCACGGTAGCTAACCGATGGACTACTTCAGCCGGGAGAATTGTGGTTTGTCTGTGAGTGTAGAAACCTTACCATCTCATTTGCCTTAGTCTGGTACACATTATGAGTCTCTTTCCATGACGCTCTGTTATTCTTGCTCAAGTCCCGTCCGTGGCCCAAAGCTCCCCAGAGCTGTGCATTTTTACATGGGCTGATCGCCGATGTTGTGCTTGGCTTCTCTAAATGCACACCTTCTATAATCGCTACTGACACTGGCACCTGCACATGGCTGCGTATCAAATGCAGCTCTGTGAAATTACGTACACTACTGAAGACGACTGTTATGTTACAGAGACTTACACTCCTGTAGAATTGCAGAAATCCCATTTTGTTTACACAGCGTTGGTATCAAGCCAAACAATGAAGAAGAAAGCCAATGTGGTAGATTCACACGACTTAATATAGTCACACCCTGAACTGAGTTTTGTGGTACTTTACCTCAAAATCTTACATTTCAACATCTGGCACCTCTGGAGCTGCTGGAAGCTGACCATACTTCATGTGTCATCAAAATATCTTTGGGAGATGATCTGTGATGTGGTACGGGTGATAACATTAGACATATGTCCTTAGCAAGATAACATTCTGTCCACATGCAACAATAACCAGCGTCTCTTTGTTGTGGGAAGACAATTGTGTAATTTTTATCTCCCAGGGGCAGTTTGAAAAGAAGGTTAACAAGTGCATGGAGGTGATGTAACACATGTTGTCACGCTGTAATCCAGGCTTTCACTTTTATATTATTGAGTGCTCATCTTTCTGACTGCCTAAATGAACAGTCAGTTGGTTTTGATCTACAACACTGTTCAGCAATTCAAGACATGCACAACAGTTGGGAAAAAAACCCTCGTACGTAAAGGTGAATATAAGGCTGAACAAACCGACAACCCTGAGATTTAAACTTAATTCATCCTGCTCCATTTGTGCACACAATACCTGCACTCATTGGAAAACACAGCTATTTATCAATTTGCCAAATTAGTGATGAATTCACATTAATTTATGATTTTTAGAAAAAAACAAAAAAAAACTAAGGGCCAGATTTACTAACAGCATGCACTAGCGCAAACCCTTTTTTGGCATAAAGTCGTGTAGAACATTTTAACAGCGAGCCAAGGAATGCAAGTGATCTAGATGTGCTCTTCCCTTTTCACGTGTGAGAACACGCACAGGAAGCGGACTGCCGCTGAGTACTGTAATTTGAGTGAATGATGACGATCACATGATCTCGCAGCCGTCAACAACAAAGGAGACAGTTGTGGCATCAGAATCTGTCCTGAGTGCGTCATATGTTTTTCTGCTCAGTACTGTAAATTATACAATGACTTTTTCTTTTTCACTTCCAAAAACCGTATTTTTAACAGTATTTTACTGTAAAATTACATTAAATGTAATTACATTTATTCACCGAATATAATATGGAAACTTA